GCTACGAGCCGCTGCAGCCCGCGCTCCCGGCCGCCGGCGAGCAGGACTGCTGCGGGGAGCGCGTGGTCATCAACATCTCGGGGCTGCGCTTCGAGACGCAGCTCAAGACCCTCTGCCAGTTCCCCGAGACGCTGCTGGGCGACCCCAAGCGGCGCATGCGGTACTTCGACCCGCTCCGCAACGAGTACTTCTTCGACCGCAACCGGCCCAGCTTCGACGCCATCCTCTACTACTACCAGTCCGGGGGCCGCATCCGCCGGCCGGTCAACGTGCCCATCGACATCTTCTCGGAGGAGATCCGCTTCTACCAGCTGGGCGAGGAGGCCATGGAGAAGTTCCGCGAGGACGAGGGCTTCCTGCGCGAGGAGGAGCGGCCCCTGCCCCGCCGCGACTTCCAGCGCCAGGTCTGGCTGCTGTTCGAGTACCCCGAGAGCTCCGGGCCGGCGCGGGGCATCGCCATCGTGTCCGTGCTGGTCATCCTCATCTCCATCGTCATCTTCTGCCTGGAGACGCTGCCCGAGTTCCGCGACGAGAAGGACTACCCAGCCGCGCCGTCGCAGGACGCCTTCGAGGCGGCCAGCAACAGCACGTCGGGGGCCCCCGGGGGCGCCTCCAGCTTCTCGGATCCCTTCTTCGTGGTGGAGACCCTGTGCATCATCTGGTTCTCTTTTGAGCTGCTGGTGCGTTTCTTCGCTTGCCCCAGCAAAGCCACCTTCTCACGAAATATCATGAACCTGATAGACATTGTGGCCATTATCCCTTATTTTATCACTCTGGGCACGGAGCTGGCTGAGCGACAGGGCAACGGACAACAGGCCATGTCCCTGGCCATCCTGAGGGTCATCCGCCTGGTGAGGGTCTTCCGTATCTTCAAGCTCTCCCGTCACTCCAAGGGGCTGCAGATCTTGGGGCAGACGCTGAAGGCTTCCATGCGGGAATTGGGCTTGCTCATCTTTTTCCTCTTTATTGGGGTCATCCTTTTCTCCAGCGCCGTCTACTTTGCCGAGGCAGACGACCCCACTTCGGGTTTTAGCAGCATCCCGGATGCCTTCTGGTGGGCAGTGGTAACCATGACAACAGTTGGCTACGGTGATATGCACCCGGTGACCATTGGGGGCAAGATTGTGGGCTCTCTTTGTGCCATCGCGGGTGTCTTGACCATTGCATTGCCGGTTCCTGTGATTGTTTCTAACTTCAATTACTTCTACCACCGGGAGACCGAGGGGGAAGAGCAAGCCCAGTACATGCACGTGGGAAGTTGCCAGCACCTCTCCTCCTCAGCAGAGGAGCTCCGAAAAGCACGGAGTAACTCGACTCTGAGTAAGTCGGAGTACATGGTGATAGAAGAGGGGGGCATGAATCACAGCGCTTTCCCCCAGACCCCTTTCAAAACGGGCAACTCCACTGCCACCTGCACCACGAACAATAATCCCAATTCCTGTGTCAACATCAAGAAGGTATTCACCGATGTTTAATATGTAATACCAGTGACATACTGTGCGCAGTATTGTGTGAAATGTGCCCCCCGGTCTGTGTATGCCCTTATTTTATATATTTCCAGACCACTCGTTGAGGAAAGGACGTGAAGAAGTGGGAAGCACATTTCATTCTCCTTCTCCCTAGTGCTTCATAATGAAACAGGTGCCTGTTTTGCAAGTGGGCTGCATTCTCTCAGCTCTCCTTTTATTTTTCCCGTCTTAATTTTGTGAACAAAAAACTTAGGCTAAACTTGATTTCTAGCACACGCCCTATTTAAAAAAAAAAAAAAAAAAGTACATCCTGGGAGGAAGTGAAACTGCAGAACAGTTAGACTTCAGAGTAACTGTTTAACCTCAAAATTAAAAGGTAGTTGTTCTTTACTAAGTAAAGCGAGTGAACACTTACATGATTCTTTAGGACACTAACATTACTTTATGGATTGTTTAGTTCAATTGCCTGCTCTCGATATGTGGATGGAAAGTCAACTAAAAGAATGACATAAACCCACTATAAGTTTACTTGGTTTTTGACTGGAGCTTCTGTTTCAATCCTCCTCTTCCGGGATCTTAAGGGTCTCAACAGCTTTGAACAAAGGGAAATACCCACAACATCTTGATCTGACTAATTAACAATTCGGGACTTACTAAGTATTTTACAAGTATTAGACTAAAAGATTCCAGTCAAGTTCTGTGCATATGTCCCAGCTAACGTCTGTCAAAGTCTAGAAACAGATGTTTTCAGTGCTGCTGAGAGAAACAAAAAAAACTTCCTAATGCATCTGAGATAAGCTTCTGCAGTATCACAAGAAGATTAAAGTGGCAGACACCCCTTCCAGCGGAAGTTACTAATTCGGACCTGACTGATGCAGTTCCCATAGCAACCCACGTTTCCTGGGAAACCCGAAAAAGGTTGTCATGGCATCTCTTGCTCCCTGGCCCCACCCCCAGCCCTTGCTGTTTCCACAGTAACTTTCCAGATGGTTCCTACTTACGGGATTTCATAAGGAAAACTACTATTTGAATAAACCGCACAAATAAAGTTAAGTGTGAGAATCTAAGGAGGTGAAAGGAGTTGCAAAATGCATTTTTTCCTATGAACACCACAGATGCTATCCCATAATGGCTGAATTGACAAGGAAAATACCATCTTTGGAATGTTACATGTAAACCACAATAAAGCATGATATAAATTAAATGCCAGCTGTTAGGCAATAATTTTCAAAAATGCTCTCTACAGTTTTCTTTCTCCAAGAAGTGATAAGTCAACAAAAGCCAATGTAAAAGTGTCCTGTACATAAGCAAATGAGAAACTCAGTGTACCTGAAATCTTACTAGAAGGGACCTTCAGACTTCCTTGTGAAAACAAAATACAGCTCCTGCAAAAAGACTGTCACTGTTACAGCACTCGAAAAGCAAAATAACTATATAAAGAATGCTCATTTTTAACTGAGGGGATTACAGTCAATGAAAAGGAGAATCAGGAAGTAACCAGATCTTGAAGGAACACCTGCAAGTTTCAGCTATATACTAAGGGTTGCCAGCGGACAGACAAAATCAGGTGAGCATTGTGTAGTATACTGAATTTTGTACATGGAACCAGATTCATATCTAGATTGATAATGCTTACAAAAGCAATAGTTTTACATTAATTTTATGACAAGTGTCTTTCCTTAAAGTTCATTTGCATCTTTCCCATTTTTCCATGTTGCCAATTACCCTTTGGTTTCCAATGTTTATTGCAAAAAAAAGGAAGAAAAAAGTTATTTTTCTTCAGAATAACTTTTCGCCCAAGTTGAATTGAAGATTATTCCATTACTTTTACCAGCCCACTTGGTTTTTGAACAACCTGTTTTCCCTTAAAAAAGAATATAAGGCAGACTCTGAAGTTGTTAGATTAACAGTTCAATTTTAATTTATGTAATTATTCAGCAGTAAGCAATAGTACTGTCTTTGAAACAATTAGTTAAAATTGAAATAAAAGCTAATCATTTTGAATTGCATATATAAATTACACGTGATACACAATTGCTTTTTGGCTTTGATAATTTAATAATTATTCTAGAGTAAATTACAGTAAACATTATTTTTAACCTACATACTGTATTATTGCTGCATTTGAGAAAGTGGGCAATAATGATTGATACCATGGGAAGGGGAAGAGGAAGAAAACAAAACAAAGCAAAGCAAAACAAAAGGAGGCAAGAAATCTGTATATACCTAGACATAGAGTTGTTTGGTTTTATCTATGTGTACCTGGACAGGATTCCTTTATCTAATTTCCTTTGCTTTTTGTTTGAGTTACTTTTAATATTGACAGACATTTTTACCTAACATTTGGTAATCTTAAAGACCAAATATTCTTTTTATGACCCATTTCAATAATGTTAAATATACTATAGCGATCATATAAAAATAGATTTGTGTCTGTCCTTAAAAAATCTTAACATAAAGGTGAACAAAGAATAGTGACAATTTTATTCATATGTATTCAGAAGATTTAGAAAGCTTGATTAGTTCCATAAGTAAATGATAGGTATGACCTAATTTTCATGAGGACATAAAAAGTAGAACAGTAGTTTGAAAGGGATCTTTCTCCCCTTGTCTACAGATGTAGCACAGGTTTTGAGTCATAACTTTAAGGTAGTATGACTGCTTCTAGTCGCCATATTGGAAGCTTCTTAAAGGTTATAGGTTCTGTGTCTTGATTGTTTTAATGCTTGATGTTTTGAATACTAGTGTCTGGCAGAGAATGTAGCAGCACCTGTGTGTTTATTGATGGAATGCCTGTTATGTTGCATTACTATTACTTCCAGACTTTTAATGAGATGGTAAAAAGGGTAAGCTTCACAGTCACATTGCCAGGGTTTGAATTCCGACTCTGCTGTATGACCTTGAGCAAATTATATAACCTCTCTGTTCTTCAGTTTCCTTATTTATACAATGAAGATAATTAGTATTATTTCATATGTTTGTTATAAATATTAAATGTTAATGCAAGTAGAACATTAGGAAAAATCATTGCATAACATGATTTTATGATCATTGCAAGCATGTATAGTTAATAAAAGGGTTCTGAATAGGAAATACATAAATAATCAATGTTTTCCTATTTCCTTTCTATGATGATAATAATTATTGTGTATTAAAGGTCAACCATGTCCTGGACATTTGTCAGTTCTCCAAGGTAAGTGCCATTAACTTCAACTTTAGGAGGATAAAATATAGCTCAGGTTAAGTGATTTTCTATGATTTCACAGCACTGATTACAAGCCAGGTTATGCTGGCTCAAAACCCATGTTTCTTTTACTGAGAGATAACTCCCTATGCTTTTATGTTTGACTTCAGCTCAGGTTTCTAATTAATGAGTTCATGTATGGACTATATCCCCATAACCCCAGAAACCTATTTTATTAAGTGTACTGAAAATTAAACATTTCCTAATAATCAAAAGTTTTTAAACCAGAAGGATCAAATGTTATTTAAATCAGATAAAGAGATTGACTTTCTGGTAATTTATACGCTTGATTTATCTGGATTTAATCTTAGCATAATCAGCCACACTAGTGATACCTGCAAGGATGGGGCTTATTTTTCAATTTGACATTTATTTCTGTTGTATGTGTTTTAATCAAAAACATATGCTAGTATTATGCAAATGATTGCATTTCCACCTTCTTATACTTTGCTTAGGTTGCTGAAGAACCATGCCAAAAAGCAGTGTAAACATTCTGACTCTCCTTTGTTTAAAAGGAAGAAATTTCTGAGAACAGCAGGATTGAAAGCAAGAGATTGCCAGTTCATTGAAATCTGTGACACTGGGGACTCACCCAGCCATTCCATGAATCTTTAAGAGAATCTGTGCTCAACAGATCCCTTAGAATATAATTTTGTCACACATATTACCTGTGGTTCCTTCACTAAGGTCTTAATTCATTTATGCAATGAAAATGGATAGTGATTTGAGCTTAAAGCAAAATGCTAATGAATCTGTTTGCCCAGGTTAGTTAGCTTTGCCAAACTACAGGTTTCACTGTTAAACTCAGTTGCACATCTTGGTGTTGAAAAAAAGGATACATTTCTGTATGTAGCAAGAAGAGATTCTTGTAAGGGGTGTAACTAGATCAGTGCACATCTGTCAGCACCCTGGGGAAGATGTATCTGCCCTTATAACTGCTGGATCAGGAGAAAAAGATGGAGGTTCACATTTGTTATTATTTTCTTCCTTATATAGTATTTTTAAATACCCATGAATCATGGTAATGTAACTATAGACACCTACACATAATAGAAAATATTGTATCAGTTATTTCTGAGCTTCTAAATAGAATTTCAGAATTGAAATTTTAAATGGACAAGAAATTTTAAGTTATGGTTTATTTACATAAACTTGTGATTTATCTCTTTGACATGTAATGTATTCAAGTAATTGCTTTACAGATAGTATATAAACCCAACATGTATAATATATACCAATAATGTACTCCTTTGAGAACCATAACTGTAATTTATTGACTTCTCCACATTTAAAATTTCAATATTTTCTACAGCAATTCCAAGTCTTTCCCACCTTTCAGTTGTGAATAAGAGTGATAACCCCTCCCAGTAAGAAATGCAAAGAAGCACATGTGTCCCCAAAAGCGAAGATATGTGGAAACACTGTGAGACAGAGGTGAGGACCATAAGAACAGGCAACAGAAAGAATATTTAGGGATTGCATCCTAAGGTGAAATTGTTTTCTGATTTGTATTTGGCTTTTTAAAAGCTAAGAAAGATAAACCTATTGGTTTTGTACCAGTAACTTCTTGTATTTTGTTGTGGCAATTTTATATATACTGATGAAATCATTTGTTTTTCATATACCCCAGGGAGAATGGTTGATATTCTTTGAGAGAATATAAAGCAAAGGAGGTATGAAGAGGGAGAGAGGAAGCCGTATAGAGCCCAAACTTTTTCTTTTTTTCTTTTTTATACCAGATACGTTTTTCCTTACATTTCAAAATTTACACCATCAGTCACCCAATGCATGAAAGTAGAGATCTGGGAAAAAGGATCTATCATTTTCTTCAAAGTCTTATTGTTGTTGTTGTAAATTAAATAGTGCAGAATAGTAACTCTACCCTGAAAAAGAAAGTCTAGGGTTCTGTATTTGAGTAATACAGCAATTAAATGAACAAAAAATGGTGTTTCATCATATTTGAAGGCTGTTCTGAATAATTCTAAGCTCACTCCCAGCTATACTGTCAGAGCACAAAAAGTTTTGTGAATTTCTGTTAAGATCACCACCAACTTTTTAGTATGAAAGTTAGCATTGTACCTATCATTCTCTGTCACTTGTATTTCTGTGAAACTCTCTTGATTAATCCCTCAGCCTCCACCCCTCCCCTGACTTGACTATGTCCTCAACATGGCACCCTGAGTAATCCTCTTGAAACACTTGTTAGGTCATTTTCTTCATATCAAAACCTCTATCTGGCCTATTATTTCACACAATACACATTGAAGGCCCCACATCACTCAGCCTTCCCTGCTTTTCTGGCCTCATTTACCTCTCTGCAACCTAATGCCATGCCTCAGCCACACTGACCTCACTGCCCTTGCTCAGATGCGGCAGACTGCTCCATCCTGGAGCCTTATACTTGCTGCTTCCCTGCATAGAATGCTGCAGCACCTGGCATCTGCTTGGCTTACTCTGTCACCTGCTTTAGGTGTTGCCTTCTCATTATGGACTTCTACGGCCACTCTATTTAAAAGTGCTGTCCCATGCGGGTTCTACCGACGGGAATAGAAAGGAACTTGACCCAAACCCCTCCTGGATTTGCTCTTTTCCCAGGCAAACTCAAACCAAAGAATGACCTCTTTCCTCTTCACATCCAAGTGGTACAATTTCTTTGCCAAATGTGTCAACAAATTAAAACTTAACCTATGTACTTCATTTATATATGTAGACCAGCAAACCTTAGAAACCCTTTTCTCTTTTTATCGGCTTATCAATTAAGCACTCAAGACTAAATATTGTTCCTCTCTTCTGAGGATAATTATAAGAGCTTTATAAGGAAATGACACAAAACAAAGAACTGAACTTCTTTGATTTCTTGTTTTCATGTTTCCTCCCCCTGGTTTGGGATGACAGGTTGTAACACTGTTTATTTTTATTGTTTAATTCAATATCAGCTTTACTAGATTTTCCTTTAAACCTTGATATAGTCAAGGTATTAGACATTTAAAAGATAGCCTCATGTGCCATTACATTTTCTATTTGCCTCATGTATGATTACAAAACAATAAAATATCAGATATTCATTGGTATATAATATGTATAAGAAATTGCGATGAAAATCATATTAAACAAGACTCTGTATATCAATTTTTTTGTTTTTTTGGTACTGAGAGTTGAACTCAGGACCCCGCCCTTGCCAGGCAGGCGTTGTGCCACTGAGCTATATCGCTGGCCCCGTACATCAAATTTCTAAAGGGCAAAATTGACTGTAAAGGCAAAACCAGAGAGAGAACTAATTCCTCCAAGTAAGAACTGTGTTTTAATTGTTTTATACCTAGATTTTATAGACCTTTTACCTGCAGATTTTTTTAGCTGATTTCAAAAGTGTAGTTTATTTTACTGTGTAGTTATGTGAATTGAAGATATTATTAATAGATGTAAATATTGATTGAAGTAGTCCTGGTTATACTTCACAGCTTGTTTTTCCATGACTTGCCAACACTTTTGACAAAGTTCACATCTTAGCATATTGCTAACTTTAGTTACTGAGTAAGTTTAGACCTCTTTTACTTGCCAAGAGTCCATAATTTCCAAAACCCCAGTCAGAGAATTCTACATAAGTAGGCAGGAGATCTTTCTAGCCTTTGGGTTTATTCACTACCATTTAGTTTGTAGAATCTGTAGAATTTAATTGGTGTGCAGCCAATTCTAAGTAAGTTAACAGATGTCAAAGTATAGACATGTAAAAACAAAATTCCCATACATCTATATGTTTTATTTCAGTCCTTTCCTTGTCAAGTAAAGTTAGTGGGGCCAGCAGTTAAGGAGCTGAGCTTGTACTTTTTTACTTAGGCCTTGGTGGAAGTATGAATGAGTTCTTCACAAACTGATAATTATTGAAACTGGACTATTCTTGTCTTTTCTTGTTTTACGTGGTATAACATTTATTTGTTCAGTTTAAGTATAGGTCACCATTACCTACTACACTTGGTTTTTTAAACAGAGTTGATTTTGATAATCTTTCTTCTTTTTCTTTCAACACACTTCTTAACCTCTAACATAAACATCATGATTACCATCCCCATATTAGCTCTTTTTGGTTTCTGTTGAAATGCAACTCCCTCCACACCTATAATCTAGTAGTATGCCTTGCCATACCAGCTTAATTTCAAGAACTTTGAGATGCAGGTATTGATACATGAGACTTTTATAAAGGCCCAATCCTTATATAAGGATGGAGCAGCAGAAAGACAAGTGTAGCTTAACAGAACCATTTCAAGATAAGCAAGTCTGTAGTAACACTACACAAAAACCAAGCACTGAGGAAATAAAATGGATGTCAGATGATTACTGTTACATTTTCTTGTTAGTGGTCATTTATAGCTGTTAGATGACTGCAGTTTTCAAATTCTCAGAATGAAAAATAAGCATATCGTGGATATACTGTACTCTTGCTTCTTGACTAAAAATCTGTCTTAAGAAGATATGTCTTTGATCAAGATAAGGAAAAATTTTCAGTAGATGATTGTACAGCACATAGTAGGCATACAGTATTTAATTTAATGAGTGAATTATTCTTCCCTCAAAAGCATAAATTATAGACCAGTGATGGCTCATGTGCTGTAGCAAGATGTTTGTAATTGAGAGGTCTGCAAGGTTTTTCCTCCCTGTTACAGACTGTGATCTTTGGGTATTTACCTCTCATACAGAGGCATTTGCTAAAACCAGGAGTATGTATGGAAAAGTCTTCTCTATGAATTACAATAAAAAACCTGGGTTTATTATTCTATGTTTTTGTTCTTGTAAGTGTCCTTTATATTATACAGGAAGTAAATTTATAGAGCCCAGGAATCTAATTTTAATATATCCTTTTATTCATTAATATATATGTACTGACTACCTCCTATATGTCAGGCATTATACAAAGTAGTAAAAATACATTCATCCATTTAACATATCAAATATCTACTGTGTGCCAGATACCATTTTGAATTCTGGATATGACAGTAAAAAATACTGTCATATTCTATTGGCATTTCTAAATCATTTTTTGTAGTTGGAAGAGAGGACCATTAAATCTCTAACCTTTATTTCTTAATTCTCCACATCCCTGGTCAAGTGGTTTTGTTGTCTGAATTCATGATGCTTTAAAGTGTACATAACTGTGCAGAGTTCATATTTTGAAGGATCAACAGATGTGTAACAAAAATCTAAACTAGAAGCAGGACATCTTGTGGCACTAAAACATGATTTTCACAGTATTCATCTTGAAAGAAACTCTTCCTTTGTGTATCTCTCCTCTCTTTCCTTTCTCTCTCCCTTGTCCTATGTGCATACACTGTCACTCTGTCTGTCTTCCCCTTCTTTTCTCTTTTCCTGCACATTATGCTTATCTGAAAATGGAGTTTCTATTGCCTTCAAGAGTTCTCAGATAACTGCACTAGAATGTATAGTCAGAAAAGAAGCAAACCCTTGAAAATCCATATACATTTTTCTAGAAATCAATGGCATTGAGAACTTTTCAGGTGCTTCTAAGCATGAATATAAATTTTCCTATTCAAAAATCAAACTACCACATTAGTTTGGATAAAACTTTAGAGTCATAATTAATTGGAAAAAGTTTATCATTTCAGCATAATCTGAAACTTTCTCTAATTTAAAAGTGTTCAATATGTAATTAATGCATTTAGAAAACTGAATTGCTTGAACTTTTCAGAGCAACAGTAAAAAAAATCAGTTTTAAAAATACATGAATGGAACTTTTCTATTATCATGAAGTCTATAGTTTTTAAAGGTGAATATGCAATTGATGATTTTATTTCCTCTGTCCAACAGGTCCTTGAAGAGCCCCACCTGAGTAGTATAGCCACCCTAACCAGTAAGATGCTAAGTTTTCATTTGCCTGGACCAAGAACGCAGTACCGGTTTTTGCATCACTGTTGAGCGGGAATCTGTCTGCCAGCATATATTTTTATTTCAGTTTACATTAAATAATTATTTATATTAAGAAAACAGCTTGAAGCTGAAGGATTCTCCTCATCCTGTGTGCAGCGTGAAAGATATTGATCAAGAGACAAAGAATGTTAAAAATATTAAGGTATTTCAATCCTTTGACATTTTAATAAAATCTAATCATGCAAGAACTATAATCAGTGTTGGAGATAAAGCAAGCCTAGATGTTTGTTACTAATAAGCCAACTATCACTGTCTTGTTTTTTAAATTAATTACTGGACTGTATTTAATGATGAGACATACTCATGTCATACGCAGTGTTCTGCTTATGTGAAACTTTACTTTAGAAGGTATGTTCTGTACCAAAGGCCCCCACACATAGTTTAGCCCACTTACACATAAATAAGTAAGGTCGACACTGTGCCCAGAATAATGGTATTAAAGATAGACTTGCCTAAAAGAAATGTGCCTTGCTTGATTAAACATTCTTTTATTTTTTAATTTAAAATATTTACTAATTAGTCTATAGGTAGGTTTTAGCTTACCTTAACTTTACAAAATATATTAGTACTTACTATGTCATCTATCTTAACTAAAATTTTGACATTTAGTTGTACTTTTAAACAGTTCATATATAGTAATTCAATTTTATTTTCATGGGATGTTTGATGTGGTGAGACAAAGCACATTCTTAAAGATATATATACTATATCAGCTAACGTTTATAGCTTTTCCTTCAAGATTATATGTGTAAAAGATCCCTTGACTCATTTTCTATTTTTATATTCTTTTAGAAATGGAACTCTTTTTCAATTAAAAAAGCAAAATTTTAATTGGAAAAGATACTTAGGGGGTCATGAAGATGGTTTCCCATTTGGGGACATTTCACTTCTGTGCCATTATTAATGTATTTACTGTGACATTTCAGCAGAATGGTAGCTATTTGTATATTATTTCATAAGCCTTATTGAAAGTCAAACTGTGAACATATAGTATATAAAAGATCTTTTTCATTTCTGTATTTAATTTTCAAAATATACCTGAACAAATGCAATGTCCTATCGTTTAAATGAATAACAATGCTAAATTATAATTAGAGTGCTTGTGTAATTTTCATTACTATAAAATATTTCAGGTGCAAAGCCAAGATTATATACTTTTTGATGCCTTTAGAAGGAAATACAGGTGATAAATTTCATTAATGTATAGGAATCATTAACTAAACAGTTATTCACCTAATGGCAGCAAAACACATGAATAGGAGATCCAGGTAACTTTCTTTGAGGCAATGTCTACAATAATTATTTCATAACCTTCTTCTAATTTCTTATGGTCAAAATTTGCAGACCAGATCACTATAGGAAAAAGTGAAATAAAGCAATGAGAACTATCTCAGATTTCAGCTATATGAATCTCCAATGGAGATGATTTATAGTTAAAGTGAAAATATAGCCACCATTTTGTTTTTATTCTGTGTTAGCCCATGTGGTAGAGATACTGGCCCAGGGAATAGTCAGTTCATTGTCGCCAAGTTAATCCTTATAACTGGTGATCATAGCTTGGAATGATTGAAACAAACCGATTAACTGTGCTATAGGAGTTCTTAGACATGCAGACATATTAGAAAGGATCAATAGGCACAAAAACTATCCTCATAAAGCACCAGTGACACCATTTTAATCATTATAGTATATTTGTATCATATCTGCATTGTTACTAGAGGCCACAGTTTCAAACAAATACCAAACCTGGACTCTCACAAGGAAGTCACAGAATTGTATCAGATAAGAAAGCAAATACATTCACAGAATGGGTAGTGAACATAATACTCAACTAGGTAATAGAATACCAGAATTCTTACTTACTTCCTATCTGTGGGACCCTAGGTAAGTCAATTACCATAGGTAGGCTCCAGTTTTTTCAGTTGCAAAACGGATGTGCTGAGTTGAATAATCTCCAAGCCCTTTTAAGCCCCAAACTTATTATATTCACTTCCTGAAAAATACCTTGAAGGATACTTACACACTCAGATTTTCTGATGCATTTCTAAACAAAACAATACATTGAAATAACATTTAAGCCTGGAAAGTGTCATAAATTTATCATTCTTCAAATTGGTTGTCAAAAGAGGAAAGATTTTTTCTCCTCTAAGAATTTTCCCTTATCTGCAACGGGGTCATGAAAAAATAGAAAAATCACTGCAGAAGGAAAGTAGATTAATGGAATCACTAGAAATAAAAGAATATTTGGTAAGTTTAGTTAGGTGTTAAAGTGGTTAGCCAGTTACATGCCAGAATTTTATTGCACACTCAACATTGTAAGCCTGGAAGTAGGGAAGGTAAGAAAAGGTTAAGCAATACAAGTGTTTGCCTTATCATCTCTTGATGCTTTTTACACAAGAGAGCTTAAGCCGGTGTCTATAATGTGGTGCTGGCTCTGCCAATAAAGTTCATGTCCCCCAGGAAAGTCCCCTTAACTTCTGAGAGCCTCAGTTGCATTACCTGAAAAGTGGAAAATTTAAATTCAGCAATCAGTTTCTTTCCATTTTCAAAAATTCTATGACATTTTCAAAATATATGGGTATATGTGCCAGTTGTCCCCTGCCCCGGCTACTAACATATCACATATTTCTACTCAAGGGACTGAATAGATTAAAAATTGAAATGGTTGTATTTCTACTATTACTAATTGGCCTTAGCAAGACATAAAAATGTCAGATCTTATTTTCATCCGACTGTGGCTTAACTATTATGATTTATCGTTTCATCTTTAAAATAGTTATTTACACAAAATGTCTTTTCAAATTATTCTTCTCTTCAAATTCTTGTGGTTTCAAAACCTCTCAACAAACAAGAATGAAATATATTTTGCTTGCCAGTGAACCGCAGCTGGTTGTAAAGTATATTTTTGTCACATTTAAGTCAAATGCCCTTTTGGAGCCAGAAGCAATGACTAGTAAATTAATAGTCATAAAATTTTATGAATTTTTTAATAAAAAGGAGGCCAGGTAGAGCCATATTGTAATTAATTTTGCTCAGGAGTGAGAAATAAAATTCAGGGATAGCCCAAACACTTTTATTGGGCATTAGTGGACAGTTGAGAAAAAAAAGGTTACAGCTTTTGCACAACAAGGGTAATAGGAACCTATACTAATTGAAAAACAGGAGTCTATTCTGGTTACTGGTTGTGTGATAAAAAGAGACTAGGTGAGATGAATGCTAGAATCTGGACACTAGAGAAATTATTAAAATGATAGCAGTCCATTTGAATGATACAGAAATATTTTGTCATACTGAAATGATTCATCTGGAGATTCGGTATTATATTCCTTTCATCCAGAAAAGGGGGCAATTTTTAAAGGCCTCCATCATAATAAAAACGTATATTTTCACAAATGGAGCAATTAATTGAACATTTAATCTAATCTTTTGGTTTTATGAATCTGAATTTTCAGGTTTAGCTGTGGTTGAGTCTCTCATATATTAGTGTTAGTGATCTTTGTGAGAAGTGATTTCGTCCTTTTTTGTAAACTTTATGAACTTTGCTAAGTGGTGACTCTAACATATTGTAATAATACTGTATCTTACACTCATTTGTGAACTTATCATACCAAACAAACCATAGTAGTATCTCTTCTGATAAATTTTCTCTGGTGTGATCTCTTAATGCTGGGTTTGGGAGTGGGGGAGGTTAAGTATTTAGTTTACGTAAAGTTGTCAAAATGTTTTCCTTAAATGCCATACAGTTGTATACCTATAAACCAAATAAGAATATCTTATTTTTTCCCAATTTTAAGGGCACTGTATAGACCATTTTTAACTACTCCATAAAATGGTATCATTTATGTTTAAAAGAGCCTAGACATATTTATGTATATACACAAGGGAAAGCAAACAGTGTATGTAGTATTTCTGTGTAATGTACTAAGTGTCATAAGAATCTCTTCTTGAATTTTATAGATGTTAATTACACAGAGATTAGAATAGTAGATTCACCATCTCAAGTTTGTTAGACATTTATTCATTGACATATGTGATACTGTGCAAACATCATTCACATATTCTACTTAAACCCTACAACTTCCACATGAAGTACTAATACCACCCAAAATTTAGAGATTGAACAACCAAAGTGTAGAAAGGTCAGATGACTTGTCCAAGAACATTCATCAGTACGTGGCTCTAAATCTCATTTCTTTATACTACTCATCCTCTGTCATTTGATCTTTATCCTGTCATTGCTATTATATTTAAAACTGTGACTAGAATTCTATTTTAAAAGATACATTGCAGAATTTCAGGTTTTAGTGAAAAGGCATTGCTGCTGCTATCGTCAGACATTTTTAGATACTTCCTAACTGTAGTCCTTCCACAGGGTGATATCTAAGCCTTTTCCACTTAGAACATGTTAAGTCCACACACACTGACTTAAGACACCAGATTTATTTAATGCCAAAATGCTAGACTGAAAAACAGTCACTGGCTTTTCTCATTGCCTTCCAGAAGCAACCCAGTAAGTTGCAGATAATGATTCAGAGACAGACAAAAAAACGAAATCCATCATAGTAACCACCTTTCAGCCTCTTTTGTTTTTTATTACATGTATGCTGTGACTGAGGGAGGACAGGAAAGGGGCGGTGTGGATAAATGTATTATTTCCTGTATAAATATATTGTTTCCTGTAACCATGCAAAAAGAATTGGTCATCAAAGGTCAGATAGCAGTATCAACTTTTAGATGTAGTTAAAACATTTGGCAACTTTTCCACATATTTAAAAATGCACTCAAGGATTGTCCCAGATACAATTAAAATCTGATGACTGCTCAGTTTAAATATCAAGAATTTTCGTGTGCCAATCCATGACAAGAATTCTTTTCATTCTTTCACAAACAACAACTCGACACTGTTACTGCTTGCTCTTATAAGTCACACAGTCTGTGAAACATTCTGTACTTTTGCTGACTAGTAATGTAATGTTACTGTGAATATTTAAATGAAATATGTTCTTGTGATATCAGAATTTAAAATTTTCTCACCTTTCATTTAGTTCTCCTCATCAAATAAATAAAAGTATTATTTTGTATGGAATGAGTAGTCATTATTAATAACAAATAATGGAACTCTGACTACAACATAAAATTGAAAATACATTTTATATTTTTTATAAATTCATTTTGTTTTGACGTTAATTTTTCACATATCAGTGTAAAGTTAAACTCTTATCCCATGCTCTCTACTGTTCTTATCATAATCATTTTGAACCTTTCATTAAGTAATTTCAGGAAATACCTATGAGTTTTGATTTTGTGGCGATTTCATCTGATCCCTTTTTTAATTTGTCATTGGATTTAATGTGTTTTGTTTGCAAATGTTACATACAAAATTCAATAAAAGGCAAAAACTACTTGTTGCTCATATTAATAATTAATTCTGAATTACTCCTTCCTTCTTTCTCTTTTCTTTCTTTCTTTCATTGTTTTGTTTTTACAAAAGAGGAAACAGCAAAAGCTAAGCTGCTGTCCATAGTTCAAGTATCAGTTGGTTTTAGATCAACTCGAAAAGTCATGTGGCCTCCCATGTACTGAAGCCTGTGCATTACACTTAGCAAGCCTTTTAGAGGCCAGCAGTCCCCAGCGTTCCCCCATTGCCTTCTATCAAATACTTTTGCAGACCCAGTAAAGTCTCAAAGAAGAAAGAATTTATGTGCTATAAGCCTATGCCTTTATATTTTGTGCCATTTAAAAATATGTATTGGGCATCTATTGTGTGCACTGCTACATTTAAAGCACTGTAAGGGGATATTAAGCTCAATATATAGATGACCCTACTCTCAGAGAGCCTCATTACTTATATCCAGAACAACAGAATATTAATACTTTGTCTTCACCTTGTATTCTCTATATATGCCCTATACTCTTTTACACATAACAGAGCATACCTTCCAGCAATCACACTTTAATATATCCATTGTTCTTATTTTGTACCCAGGAATGTTGATCCCAAATCCTTTTCCTAATAACAGCTAGTTCCTCGAGTGTGTTTGTGCTTTTGGAATGTCAACAAATGCTACACCATCAAAACAGAGGCTTTCTCTCTTGTTTCCATCTGGAATTTTACTTTGTCTGAAGCAAACAAAAAAGTGCAGATTTAGACTACCTCACACGTGGTAATTAGCTATCAGAGAAAAGAACAAAACATTTTCTAAGCCTTCAACTGATATAAGAAATAATTGTTTTTAAGTTTTCTGATCATGACAATTTCGGTGGCAGACTCCATGAGCCATAATCTGTAAGTATTCATTTAGGGGACCAAACCATTATGTCCTTTGCAATATTAACAGAATAAATTAAGAGATGCAGGTTGTCTCCAAAGTATTGTAATATCCTCTTTGAGCTGAGAGAATTCTCACATTGCTGTTGGACTTCAACAGAAACAAATTAGTGCCTAATTACTGCTACATACTTCCTCTGAATTAGGGCCCACTCAATCCTGAAGTAAATTTTCTATACTTTTCTTGGTATTAAATGTCTATCAATCTTGTGCCTCTTGTGTCCCTTAGGTCTACTATATATAGATCTCATTATCCTTGGCCAAAATCATTTACTTTGTTAAAAAATATTCCCTCTTTGTTCATTCTTAATGATATCTGATGAATCATGGAAGAGAAGACTATCATGGAAATAGAGCCAAGTGAAGAACTAAAACCTCTGGTGACAATACTGTCTCTTAAATTTAAGATCAGTAAAGTCATTCTTTGGAATTGAAGGCCCTAGAGAAGGACCAAAGCAAATAACCCAGAAATCTGATTTTAAACACACAATTGAGGGGCTGGGGATTTAGCTCAGCGGCAAAAGTGCCTGCCTGGCAAGCGCAAGGTCATGAGTTCGGTTCCCGGTACCGGAGAAAAACCAAAAATAAATAAATAAATAAACACACAATTGACAAGGAAATGAGTATATATGCTGAGTCCTTCACCCATGCCTGATCCAACTTAGCATAATAAATGCCTTTAGTTGAAGATGAAGGACACAAATTGATTCATAGGCCCTACCTCATTAGTTTTGCAGTGTCAGTGAGCAGTAGATGCCAGGGATCACTAGTTTAATCTGTATCCATTATGCCAGCCCTAAAAACAGACAATTATTTCTACCTAACTTGAATCTACAAATAATCACAGACTGCATAATAAGTAACAGTGCCTAATTAGAATTCAGATCTGGGCTAAAAGATGAGAAATATACCTTAAGTCTTTAGTGTTTATTTCTCTATAGAGAAGCTGAGGGCCTCTGCAGAGGTAGATGCCTGTGCAGGCTTGTGATTTGTAACAGTGGAGATGGAAATAATTCACAAAGAAATATCAATGTGGATGCAAATTTTTGAAGCACAATTAACTTCTGCATAATTTCTGGAGGCATTTTATAAGACTGTTAAAATTTTTACATTCTAGTCTCACAAATGAATTTGTGAGTGTTATGTGCTTGTTTCCTCCGGGCACTTTATATGCCAATAGGAACATTCTGCACTATCAGGCTAAGTGTTCAACATGCGTAGTGGCCAGGAAAGAACCTAGCAAACAGTACTCCAGAGGCACACTGTATGTATGTATACAGTGAGACAGGACTAGACAGCCCCACAGGACATACACCAGAGGCACTCCATATTCTTCGACCTGTCTGGAGTATACATTAATGAGACTTCACAGCTGTACTGTGCTTGACAGTATTTACAATAATATATGAAAGCAACCTAACACACTCTGTAAAATAGAGAAGGAAATATCACAAGCTCTTTACCAATGAAGAAACTGGATGCATAGCTATGCAATTTGTCTGAGGCTGTGTGGCCAATAAATTTCAGAACCTGGCTAGAATCGAAGGTTTTCTGGCTCCAAATCCAAAGTTCTTTATTCACAGCTACATTCCCCTGCCTTTACCACTCCTCCCATCTCACATTCTGCCTTCTCTAGAAAGTGAGGACAATGAGAGTTACCAGGAGGGAGATCCTGAAGAACAGCAGAACAGCTCTTCCATTGTATTTATCCTACCTGGTGTTCAAGTTGGCAAGCCCAGTACTGCCTCAGTGTGCTTCAAGACCCAAACTCCTTGCCCTAAAGACTCTAAGAGAATGAAAACAAACTCAGCAAACTTCAACAATCTATTCACTTATTCATTCAAAAATATCTATCGTGTACATCCTATATGCACTATGTACTTCTCGCTCTTGAATTGTCCTATACTATGGAGCTCTGGTCTATCCCATCAGCCTCTTCCAGAATTTGACTTCATCTACTGTTATCTGTTTTAGACAATGTATTCAATATCGCTCTCCCCCAGAATGTCTGATCCGTATGTCTTCTCATCCATCTTCAGGTTTTTGCTTCCTTCCCTTCCTTCCCTTCCGAGCCATACTTAGAAAGAAGATTTGTGGTTCAAGCTGGCCTTGAACTTGCTCATGAAGCCCAGGCTGGGCCTCCAAAGAGACCATGTCGCAAAAAAAAGAATTAAAAGCATCATATCACCCATGTATGCACAGCCATGTTGATAGCAGCACAGTTTGTAATAGCTAAATCTTGGAAACAACTCAAATGCCCATCAACCAATGAATGCATAAAGATAAGGGGGTTTTTTATGCAATGCAGTACTCCTCTGCCATAAAGAAGGACAAGCTTGAGACCTCTCTAGCTAAATGGATGCACCTTGAGACCATACTCTTAAGTGAAATAAATCGGACATACATGTGTAAATATCGCATCATTTCTCTGGTATGAAAAACTGAAAGTGTAAATAAGGACAAAAATGTATAATAGATATTGGGACAAATGTTCAAATGGGAAGGAGAACTGAGGAAGAGAGAGGGGGAAAAGAAGGAAGAGAAAAGAAAAAGAATGAGAAACAAAAGGAAAAATTGGAAACAAAGATTTTGTAAATAAAGAGGGGAAGAGAGGTTGAAGGGAGGATAGGAGAAAGGGAAAAAGGAATCAAGATACATCATATAGAGGTATAAACTTCCTGTGATAAATATGATCATTATGTCTATCTAAAATGTATCAATAAATCTAATAAAAATAAAAATAAATAAAAAAAGTTGTGTCTGTTTCCTTACCCCTCATTCAATATCTTACTATGATGTCAACCCACTGCATCTAGTGTCTGTCTCCACCTCTTAATATCTGCTCACTACTTTCCCTGTTGTACTCCAGTTTGCAGTCTCCCCAATCTTAGTAGAACTTGACACTGTTGACCCCTCTGCCCTTGGTTTTGTGAAATTTTTCTCCTTATTTTTCTTTCCATCACTTCTCAATCACTTTTGCTGACTAATTTTTCTTTTGTCACTTCTTTTTTCTGGTGCCAGGAATCAAACTCAGGACCTTATGCCTTCCAGGTGGGCACTTATACCACTGAGCTATATCCTTGGCCCTTTGTCACTTCTTAAATACTCTATCCCCAAGGTTCTGATCTTTCCTCAGGGTTTACACTCTTCCTAGGTAATTTCATCCTCTGTCTTAGTTTTAACTACTTAAGATTTTTCTATCTAGCCCATATTATATATTAAGTGCTATTTTTTTTTTACCCTTATCAGCCCATTCTCTGTCCACAAATGTCACCTAACTCAATTAGATCTGTCTCCTTGAAACTTGGAATGGAGGCTTAGAGGCTTCGAGACTAAAAACAAACAAAATGCTAAGAAGTCACAGGTACTTGAGGCATTATCCGCACCGTGACAACCTTAAGTCCATGGAATCCATATTCTAGCAAAGTAGTAGCTAAGCCTAGCAGAGAAGCAAAGAGAAAAAAGAAAACAGACATCAAGTAGAACAACCATCTTGTTTCAGTGAAAGATGGAAAGTAACTACAAGACACTTTTCCAGCAAGCAGAAGTCCAAATCTGTTTCCCACTGTTGGGTTCTGTAAGATTCACCTATACATACTAAAAAGCCGTGATTGAATTGACCAGCTTATATCTCCTTGGATGATCTCTAGACTATCCAAGGTTCTTTTAACTCAAGACTTCCAAACATAGCCACTCAGTTCCCACACTCAATGGTCCCATCCCAGCTGTATTTCTTATCTTGAGAAATCAGATCTCCTCTCCTTAACACTATTGTTTAGAAACCTGGGTATCAACTGACCCAGATTTCTCCCTCACTCTTCCCCACCACTAAATTCCTGGTGCAACTTTTCCCATCCCTGTGATTTCATCCCTATGTTACTGCAGTAACCTCATAAATTTTCTACAAGAAAGACAAAATTATCTTTCTAAATCACAAGTGTGATAATGAATCTTCTGGCTAAAATACTTTATTAACTCCTCTGGTATGCTTTTAGAATAAAGCCTAGTATTTTTGCATGCTTCCCAACTGCCTTCTGTCAAAGAACTTAACACAAAACGTAAGTGCCTGTTCTT